CGCACCGCCTATCCGAAAGCCATCTCGCTGTTTTGGCGGTTAACTTTCCCATTACCTCGCATTCATTAAAACTATACTATAGTCCTGCTAGGTAAACACCTAACAGCATGCTATAAAAGTGAAATAATAAAATAGAACAAAAATAGGTTATATCTATATCTGTGAGACGCGTGTATTTGAATTGATATATCTAAAGAGTTTTTGATATACAGGATGACACAGGCTTCCGAAAACCCTCTATATTAGGTTTTTGGTTTGTAATTTTTATTTTTTTTTTACATAATGTGAGGGAGTGAGGGTAATGGTAACGCACATTTTGAAAATATTTTTGTCAACATACGGGTGATTCAAACATATTTTCAAACTAAAGTGGTATATTTTTAAAAGGAATACAGTATATTTTTAGCTCAGTGGATTCGCTATTAAATTTACTACTTATTTAAACCCTCTCAAAATTCTAAATTTGAAGAATTTAAAAAAATTAATAGGAACTACTGTAATATTAATGTATACTGTTATAGTGTAAAAACATTTAGTTTTGACAAACCAATGTTGGTAAGCTGAATTTTAAAGAAGACACTACATACAACCAAACTTATTTGGAATTACTCTTTATTTCTGACTAAATTTCTTGCAAGGAAAAAAATCGGTATACAACTTTAAGATAAGGCTTTTTGTTGTAAACAAAGATGATTAAAGAATAAACGACTGCTGCGATTTAATTTTCTTTTGAATTTTGTGTTCAGTAGTAAATTCACGATTGTCTGGTAATTTTCATTCGAAAAATTAAAAAAATGCCTTATATTGGATTAACAGATGTACAGAAGGGAAGAATTATTGCTCTCATTGAAGGAGGAATGCCCTAAGGAGACGTAGCAGAGATAGTAGGTGTTACCCAGGGTGTTGTATCGAAAACATATGCAAGGTACTTGGAATTAGGAACACACAAGAACAGGCCTAGACAAAGTCGTCAAAGAGTCACAACTGAACAACAAGACCGCCTTGTGTGCCAAATCGCTAGAAGAAATCCCAATGTTCATCCAGAGCTACAAAGACAACTTCTGGCAGCTACAGGTGTGAACGTTTCAGTTGAAACCATAAGTAAAATGCTTCGTGTTCGAGGGTTTTACAGCAGGAGAGAGTTAAGGATTCCACAGTTATCTCGGCAAAATAAAATTGATCGGCTAAACTGATGCCTTCAACATCAAAACTGGACAAATGATAATTGGCAAAATTTTCTTTTTTCGGATGAGACTAGAAATGGCCTAAGATCAGATGATCATCGATTCGGGTTCTCAGAGCTCCAGGAAGATGAGCGAGACTCCAGGCTGCCAAATCTGTACCAAGATATAAAGGAGGCACTGTAATGTTCTTGGGAGGTATTATGCTGGGAGCAAAAACTCCATTGCTTCCACTTCAACAAACTTTAACGGGTCGGAGGTATGTTGATTTGGTGCTAGAACTAATAGTTAGTCTTTAGAGAGCTGCAATTGGGAATAAATTTAACGTCATGCACGATAGTGCTCCTCCAATATCTTGAAACGGAAGATGTCATAGTTTTGAACTGCCCTGCATGTTCACTCTGGTGAACATGCAGGGCAGTTCATGCAGATCTAAACCTTATCGAACACTTGTGGGACCAGGTCAAACGAAGGGTTAGAGCTCGTCGAAACAATCCAGAAAATCTCGCACAGCTTATTGATGCAGTATTAGCAGAATATGAAAACATACCCCAAGACAACGTTGATAATTTAATAAGAAGCATACCAGCGCGGATAGAAGCTTGCAAAACGGCAATGATGGCAACAAGAATTATTAAAATTATCAATTTTCTTTTTGTTTTTGCTTTGTGGCCATTAAAAATTTAAATCTTAATTTCGTTTTAGAAACCGAAAAATACCATTGTGTTGATTTTGTGAACTGATTAATTCTTTTTATTACTATATGGGTTATTTTTCATTAAAAGTCATTGGTAACGACTTAGTATTATTCATAAATACAAAATTTTCATACACGTCTCAAAAATTATGAAAAATAATAGATGATTCCTATAAGTTTGGTTGTGTTTGTATCAAAAAAGATTGCAAATATTGGTAGGCTGAATTTTAGAGAAGACACTATTATACAGTACCTCCGGCTAAAAACTTTTAAAATTCTTCGAATTTAGAATTTTGAAAGGGCTTTAAATAAGCAGTAAATTTAGTTTAAAAACGGTTATATCTCAATCAATCTTCCTGCAAAATTTTATTATTCTTATTACCAAATATTATATTTTTTGTACAACATAAATAGACACACAATATTATAGTTAAAAGCTCATTTTTGATATTAAACACCTATCAATTTGAAGATAATGAATATGTGTCTAGCGTGTTTCGTCCAGAACCCACCCTCATACAAGTATGACACAAAAATGACCGATTTGCCGATTATATTTTGATTTTGGTCGTGATTCCGGCGTGGGGTCGATGTTTGTGCAAGCGTACACCGGAAGAGGTCACCGTATCCGGCATGTGCGCCTTTCTGACTTCACTTGACACACTAATTGGACGCGATTGATTCGAAAACGGGGTTGCAGTTAGTTATTTCACGTTATTTTTTGTCTTGGACAGGATGTGAGTACTACCATGTCACGCGTTGTAAGATTAAATGATTTTTAAAATATATGCAATTATAACGACGACTGAATAAGTTACAGTGAGTTGAAATAACAGGCAGTGGCGATTGGTCTCAGTGATACACAAGTTTACAAATTCGGGTCAACTTTTGGACCCGAACAGATGAGAACGATTCTTAACGTTATTTGATGCCCTGAACTCAGATCTTTAATCCGTTTGTCAAGATTGGCTCTAGTTTTCGAGTTCGCGCATGGCAATAGCATAAATGTGTCCTCTGTACCACTTGTAAACCCACAGGACGTTTTACTGCCACATCTTCACATTAAACTTGGCTTTATTAAGAACTTTGTCAAAGCACTCAATCGCGAAGGACCGGCTTTCCCATACTAAACCAAGTTGTTTCCAAAACTGTCATACGCAAAAATCAAAGAAGGAATATTTGGCGGACCTGATATTCGAAAACTAATGGCTGTTTACAAAATGTTTAACGCTTGATGAGGCAACAGCATGGGCATCGTTTGAAAGTGTTGTTCACAACTTTCTCGGTAATCATAAATCACCGGATTACAAGCAAGTAGTCGACAATTTGTTGCAAAATTACCACAAGATTGGGGCTCTTTCTGCATTCACATTTTTATTTTTTTCCACAAAACTTGGGCGACACGAGCGACGAGCAAGGAGAGCGGCTACACCAAGATATAGCAAAAATCGAAAGGCGATACCAAGAATTTTGGGACGAAGGCATGATGAGCGATTACTGTTGGACCCTAATTCGTGAAACAGATCCCAAGCAGTATAAAAGACTGTTCAGTATAAAAGAAAATTCAACCTCTGTTCATTTCTGATTTATATTGTTTAATTCAATAAATGACCGTCAACGGTCAAAAATAGTAATATGATGAATTTATTGAATATTTCGAACTAGAACCAATCTTAAAAAATGGACTGTTGATTTGGATTCAGCTCCAAAAATTGTCTTAGAAATTGCTTTTAGTTACTCAGGTCCAAAACCGTGTATACTTGTGTAATAATTAGGTATAAGAATAAACATGAAGCTCCGGATTCTCAAGAATTATAGAAAATGTCTATACCTATGTAGAAGAATAGAAGAATAGCCTTTGGATAGAAGAATTATAGAGTTCTAGAGAATTTCTTAGATTAATAATTAATTCGTAATGCTTAGAATTGAAGGAGGAATTGAAATAGTTCCATTTAAAAAAAAACTTTGATGTGCTACGACTTTATCACCGACCCTATCTACTTAAATTTATTACTCGCTAATAAACAATTAAAAACCCTTTTTATGTTTAACTTTTTACGGTATCTCATATATTTTACCTAATAATCGACCGTTCCCATATACAGGGTGGTCCGAAGTGTATTCCGGAAACTTCGGCAGCATATTCTTCAAATAAAAATAAGTAAAAACCTTCCTATAAATGTATGTCCAAAAATACTTAGTTTCAGAGATACAGGGTGTAGAAATTTCATTTTTAATTCGTTTTTTTCTTAATAATTTTTCTCTTTAAAGTAACATTAATATTTGAATAAAAATTGGTATCTCTCAGTTTTTTGACACGAGAAATTTGATTTTAATTTCAATATGACTCTTGGTAAAAATCGCTACGGGTAATGGTTCTCGTGATATTTGGAATCGAAATTATCAATACCTGTCCTCACTGACATAAGTTAAACATGTTGACTAAATAGTTATTAGACTGAAATCCTAAATTTGACATGTTCTTGTGGCAAAAATTCAACAGAAACTGTTTTATTATCATTTTTTCGAAGAACAAATTAATTGAAAAAAATAGTATCCAAATTTATCATTTCAGTCAAATAACTATCTACTCGAAATGTTTATTTTTTGCCAATAATGACATGTATTGATTATTTCAATTCTAAATATTTTGAGAACGGTTACTTGTAGCGATTTCTACCAAGAGACATTTTTTACGTAAAAAATCACGGAAATGAATAGTTTTTCACCCAGTAGTTTTATACAGGTAAGCATGAAAAGTTATTACTCTTCAAAACAGTTAAAGCACATGTAGGTGGTGCCCTCTACAAATAGGAGTCATATTGACATCAAAATCAAATTTCTCATGTCAAAAAACTCCCAAACACCAATTTTTACCTAAATATTGACGTTACTTCAGAAACTATTTTGAAAAAATCGAAATAAAAATGATATTGTAACACCCTGTATCTCCGAAACTAACCATTTTAGAACATACACTTATACGAACTTTTTTAATTATTTTTATCTGCAGAATATGCTGTCGAAGTTTCCGGAATACAGTTCGGACCACCCTGTATATCAGCGACCCTGTATATTTAAAGCGTTGATATTTTAGTTAAAATTTATTTTACTGTACTTACTCGTTTCTCTGTCTGATCTCTCATCTCCTGTAGAAGAATCCGCAAACAAATCTTGCAAATTCAATGGTTCTCTTGGTCCTAACAACAGCTTGCTTCCGCTTGTAATATCCGATATCGTTTCATACCATAACTTTACAATAGTTAAAAGAAATGTTAATAAATAAACATTCAATGTTATATGTTTAAATATTTTACCTGTCCATTAATCAAAGTATGCCTCATATTTGCCAGGGTCTTATTGGAGACGCTGGTTACAAGTTTGAGCCAGTTTTGGTGTTCTAAGGAACCGTCCAGCCATCCTCTTACACCTGAGCCAGCTACAACCTGAAATAAACAATAGAAATGAGTTTATGTTTTATATAAATATTAAAAAAAGAATGTAAAATGAACATTACAGTTGAGGGTTGGAACCTTTGGTGTTACACAGCAAAATAAAAACACTAAATCACCACAATACACCAAAACACTTTTACTTTTACACTGTAATAATCATCTGCTGATGATGCTAACATGGTTAGCGAAACGCGCGTCCAGTGTAAAAGTAAAAGTGTTTTGGTGTATTGTGGTGATTTCGCGTTTTTATTTTGTTTTATTAAAATGAACACACTTAAAGATTATTTAATACTTATTGATGAATCTTATACAATGATGTCGACAAAAAATAAATATTTTATATTGTTATTTATATAAAAAATAATGTTTATTGATTAATGAAGTATATTTCTTTTTAGAAAGATGGATCAAATTAGAGAGAGGTAGATCCGGTGTTTTAAAAAAGTCGGGACTGGAGTTACATCAAGCCTCCTGGACCTACATCCAGCTAAAAAAGATTTATAATCCGTTAGGAAAAATCTTGCGGAAAATGTTGTAAATATTGTATATTGCCAAATCTTTATCAGCTGATCTTTTGATGACTGACAACACTCGACACAAATTTTAAGAGACCCTGTACATTGCTTTCCAGAATTAATGCTCGTGTTGTCTTTTAAGCCGACGAATAAACTTTACTGAAAAATTTGATTGCTTCGCTTAATGTATACAGGGTATCAAAAATTCCTGGTCTATTTTAAATATTTATTTTACATAAAAACTTTGTTATTTCAAATACACTATTTTTTTTAAAATAAATTGAAACAGATTCAAATGCTCTTTCAAGCTATATTAGGGTTCGCTATACCTAGCTGAGATTTTGAATAAAGTGCAATTTTTCAATAAAATGGCAACCAAGAGGGCTGGTGTCGTAATGACAAGTTTCTAGTGGCAGTTAGTAGCTATTTTCAAAAACGAAATAAGTTTATGGACTTTATTTAAATTTATAGCAGTTTACTTTTTATTTAATTTACCCCTACAATAGTTTAATAAATAATATTTAGTAAATATGTATTTATTATTCTATCAAGAAAAAAGAAGAAGTAGTTCTTTGATTTAGTTTACGATGAGTTGTAGAAATATATGGGTTTTCTATAAAAGAGCCAATCACGGCAAATTCATTTTCTTTACTTCCAACGACAGGTTTCTGCCTAATATATTATTTATAAACCACACTACCAGCTCTGCGAAATAGGACAAGTAGTTTTTCAAAGGAATGCTTATCAGGATATCTTTGAGCATAAGCCCTTGAGGCCAAGAAGCAATTTTTTTCACAAAATAAAATCACTAGTAATATTTCCATTCGTTCCGCCAGCAGAAACAGCTTTATTTTTCTTGATAATATATTGAATACTTATTTATTAAACTATTATGGGTAAATTTAAGTAAACTGTTATGAATCTAAATAATAATGACCAAAAACTAATGTTTTATAAATAGTTACTAACTGTCACTAGGAAATTGCCATGGGGACACCAGCCATCTTGATTGCCATTTTATTGAAAAATCGCTTTTTATACAAAATCCGAGCTAGATGGGTATAAGGCAGCCTTTAATATAATTTGAAAGATCATTTAAATATGCTTCGATTTATTTAAAAAAATACAGGGTGTTTCATTTGAAATAACGAAGTTTTAATGTAAAATAAATCAATTTTTGGTACTCCTGTATAAAGTTACGGAAACAATAAAATTTTTCAATAAAGTTTATTTCTCTACATTCTGAAAAGTAATGTACAGGGTGTTGATAGTCTATTCTATTGTAGCATACGCATTTAAATATCTTTAAATGTCTCAAAAACCAAAGCTTGTACATATATTTAACCCCTATAATAAATGCCTTATTTTCTGTCCAAGGATCCAAATATGAAATAAAATACTGGGTGTTCCATAAGAAAAAATAAAACTTTGGTATGGATCTTAGTTCTAAAACACCCGGTATATTTCAAAATAATTTTAAATTATGCACATTGCCTCCCCACATATACCCATAAAATATTTTGTTTCTACATCTTTCCGTTTTCGTATATTCAACTGAGGCGAATGAAATGCGCCTCCCTGTTGTATAAGTACACAAGCTTGAAATTTCAACACTAAAAAACAAGAAATTTAATTTTTAAAGAGAATTCTGGATTTACTCGGCAAAAATCTTCTAAACCTTCAAAAAAATTATGTTTTAGTGTCCTTTTGTAGTAATAAACTGATTTTCGTTTGAAAGTAGCTCCGAACCACCCCCAAAGTGGTAAAAACCAAGTTTAAAATCGGTCGTTTGTGTGACACGCGACCCTCCAATCATTATCAGCAATTTCCTTTTCTTTTCGCCATCGTCGTCAAATGGAAAAAAATGGATCTTTCGGGGCACGAGCGCGCTACCGGGGGGGTGACCGCCAAGCGTAACGGCTGAAAATTCAGGATGCGGTCTCCTAAATTCAATTTTTATGTTTGGCGTTATCCTTGGATAGTTTTTTAAAAAGCACGCCCCTCTCGCTTCGATTCTCAATATAATGAGCGAATAAACTCAGACAGGGAGGGGTGAGCAAAAAATAAAACTGTTTCTCTGATAGTTTTTTGTAACGAGACTCTGAGGGAATGAACATTAAAATTTATAGATAATTCGATGTGTAACACTAAACAACACTAGTAAATTTTTACTCTGCATAGTCTCTGTATAATGCTATAAAAATCGAAGAAGAACTATTGGAATATGTAGCGGAATTCATTTACCTTGACAATCTGATTTCGGAAAAGGCCAATATCGGCTCAGAAATTCAGCACAGCACAGAATTAGCAGCGCTTCAAGAGAATACTGGAAATTCAAAGACAAGGTATTCTACAAACATGACTCAGGTACAAAAACGAAACTTACAATGTACCAAGCAATAATACGTACCGCTGGCACATAAAATCATTAAACAAGTTGCAACACAGACACCTTAGACAACTGTCAAATGGTTCCACCATGTCTCATACGTATCGATCATTGAGATATCTAACTGCGGAGATAGTAGCCGCTTAAGATGGGCTGGTCACGTATGCAGGATGCAAGTAAACCACCTACCAAAATCTCTTCTTAACGGTGACCTTGTAGAGGGTAAGAGGAAACCGGGTTGGTACCTCAAAAGGTACAAGTATATTTTCCATGAAAACTTAAAGGGAATAAACATGAGAAAAATTGTAAACTCAGTGAACAACGGCAACCAAAAAGTAAAGAGGCAACAAAGTAATGAATTTTTGAATGTCCGGAGTATGCGGAAGAGAGATAACATCAAGCATCGGGCTTTTAGTGTGTAATTTTGTTCTACATGAGCAGCCAAAACGCGACTGTTACTATCAATTGCTGCTAGCAATGGTTATGTTAATTCACTGACGACAATTTTCTTGGCATCTATTTATCATCTGGAGAATATACAAGTTTTTCCTTTAATATTTGTAGAATCGATATTTTTTAACATCGAAAAGGAATACTTATATAATCAAAGTTTATTGATATCCCAGAGAATTAAAAATTAGAGTAATAATTAAAGTAACTCTTTATTATTGATTAAATTTCAGAAACGTCTTGTTGAATGATTTTAACATACTGTCAAACAGGAAGTAACAAACGAAGATGGAACGATATGATAAGCAAAAAAGTGTAATAAATTTTGATAGTTAAAACTTGAGTTTAGTTTAGTTTTAATCAGCTGCTGATGAGGCTAACATAGTTATCAAAACGCGTGTCCAGAGCAAAAGTAAAATATTTTGATGTATTGTGGTGAATTATTGTTTTATTTGCTGTTATAATACCAAAGCTTGGAACCCTCAACTGTAATAGTTTGGTTTGGTTATTATACATTTATGTATTTTTAAAATTAAGGATTTGAGGTCATGTATTAACTTTATTTCAAATACATCTCGAATTCGTCATTTTTTGATGATATACAGGGTGTTCCAAAACAAATGCGAAAAACTTCAGGGGGTGGTTCCTCGCTAAAAATAAAGGGTAGTTTGCTTTATAAACGTTGGGTCAAAAGTCAACCATTAGGGAGATATCGCGGTACAGAGATGGCGGAAAAATAATGTTTTTATTTTTTATCTTGAAAACTAAAAGAGATAGACTAATGACATTTTATGGACGCATTACTGTTATGAAAACATACATTCCGGTAATTTTTTCATTTTTTTAAAATGAGTGGAAGGGGTTGAAATAAACTACCCCTATCATTCTTATTAACGAAATTTAAAGAAAAATCTTATCAAACACATGCAAAAAAATTAATTTCGATAGTTTAGTTTGTTTAGAAACTTTTTAATCTCTTCTGTTTTTTTGATAAAACTCACCGATTTGAAATTAAAAAATAAAATGTAAAGCATTGCCTGTCAGGACAAAAAATCATTTTCACATAAAGAAAAAAGGCTTCGGTATAATTAATTGATCGTAAGATAATAACATATTGCAGTAGAGTAATGTCAGATAAAATAATATTAGAAACATCCTGATCCTGATCCAAACCAAACCAGAAAGTGTGTTTTCATAACAGTAATGCTTCCATAAAATTTCATTAGTCTATCGCTTTTCGTTTTCAAGATAAAAAATAAAAACATTATTTTTCCGCCATCTTTGTACCGCGATATCTTCCTAATGGTTGACTTTTGACCCAACGTTTATAAAGCAAACTACCCTTTATTTTGAACAAGGAATCACCCCCTGAAGTTTTTCGTATTTGTTTTGAAACACCCTGTATATAGATATTCCTTTTTATAAGTTATTCGGGATTTAAATGGAAGTAGTTTGGATATGGCGTTTGTCACCTCAGCCTGAATATCTGTTGGTAATTTACTTATTTCGTTTTGAGCCATTTCTGGCTCCAATTCAATCAGCAATCGACACGAAAGAGAATTAAAAAATATTGACTCAAAACTGACAACTATAGAGACAGCTTTATTTATTTGTCAAATTGCATAGAAACCAACGCC